TAATAAGTTTCATGGGTTTTGCTGCTAGTGTTATTCAGTTTAGAAACAGTTTATAAAAAGTGTTTTCTGTTTGGTTGAAGGCCGAAACTTCTGATTTCTGATCACTGTCGTTGCCATCCATCAAGTAAAATCATTGTATTTGCTATCAGGAATGAAATTTTGCAATTACGTATAAACTGCACGTCTTTTTGTGTCGTTTCGTGCCCGTTTTATTTATTTATTTAAACAGTACTGTGCGTTTTTAATGTTTTCTTTTTAAGTTTTTACGCTCAAGAAAAAATTCCAGAAACAAATGCTGGAGCTTTTAAATTAATTTTTTTAAATTATATTATTATTCCATAATAAAATGTACTGTAATCAGTTGCTTTATGAGTTGACAACTGTAAATAATATTTCTTTTAATTTACTTTTTTGCACTTTTAGAGCCTTTTGATTGTTTTGAATTTAATTAAATTCTTTTAATTGGCATTTTCAGTTGACTTTTTATTTCTAAATGTTTTTGCCATTAACAATCATCTAGATACAGTGAGTAAAAAAACTATTGGCAGTATTGGCTATAATTGACCATATTAGCTCACAAAAAAAAAATGCTTGGCAATTTTAGATGGACATAACGAACACAGGAGGTAATTAACACATAAATCTAACGAAACTTTCCTTTTAATATACCTTTTACGCAAAATATGCAGCTAAAACATAAATTTGCATGTCAAAAACGTATTGGCAAAGCTCTAACTGCTATGCAAATTTTGTTATGTTGAGGTCACATCTGTAGACTGATAAGAAATCTTATTGGCATAGAGTCTGCAATGCTCTTTTAAGACGTTATTTTGCTAATACTGTGATAAAATGGTTTCGAAGTGGTGGGAGTTGGATATTAAAAACATGACTATTCGAATCAGAAATGAGGGTTTAACTTATGCTATAGGAATACAACTGAACATAAGTTTATTTACTGTTAGAAGTGTTGTAGAAAAGTTCAACGAGACAGGATCGACGGAAAATAGGATTAGAAGTGGACGCCCTCGAATATTTTCTGCAAGAGAAAAATGTGGCGTTATCGAAGAGGTTAAGAAAAACTGTAAAATTAGTACACCCCGGTTAGCCAAAGATGTTGCTAATACTTCGGATAAAACTTTTAGTGTCGAGACTATACGGAATGTTTTATATGAAAATTATTATGGAGGGGCAACTAGAAAAAAACTTTTCATTTCAGAAATAACAGGAGAAAGAGATTAGAGTTTGCAAAATTTCATGTTAATTTATCAGACGAGTTTTGGAATACAATTATTTTCTCCGACGAATCGAAGTTTAAGATTTTCGGTAGTGATGGACGACAATATGTGTGGAAAAGGCCAAAAACTGGAAAAACAGCATTTAACACCGGCTGTGAAATATGGTGGAGGGAGCGTCGTGGGACTGGTATGGCAGCACCACCACTACACCTCACCACTCCCCAAACGATTTATGGTATTATGACAGCACGTACGTACATTGACATATTGCGACATAACTTGAAATTCAGGGCCCAAAATCTTAACTTAGGAATATCATTCGTGTTTCAACAGGACAATGACCGTATACGCGTATAATGAACCTCACCCGGGAGTGGTTACTCTATAAGGCTTCACGTCAGTTAAAGACACCACCTAAATCGTCTGACATAAATCCAATTGAAAATATATGTTACAAATTGAACCTAGAAATCAGAAAACATAAAATTTCGTGTAAAGATGAACTTAAGCTTATACTCCTGCAAGAATGGCATAAAATTTTCAATAATACCAACCAAAACTTTGGCTTTTTTTCCCTCTGAAAGATCGATTATAAGCTGTTATAAATGCAGAAGGTATGCATACGAAGTATAAATTTTGTTTCCACATTTTGCTGTATGATTTTGCCAATACTTTTTTGACATGCAAATTTACGTTTTTGTTGTTATTTTGTGCAAAAGGCACAAAAAATGAAAGTTTCATTAGGATTTGTGTGTTTGTTACCTGCTGTGTTCGTTAGGTATAGCTAAAATTGCCAAGCATTTCGTTTGTTAGCTAATATGATCAAATATAGTTAACTGGCCAATACATTTTTTACTCACTGTGTAATTCAGAAGCCATAGCTCTATTCAAAATTCTTCGGCCGCTCTTTGATAAAGACTACGGAATTTTGAACAGTTTTATTTTATTTTATATTAATTTATTATTGAATTATTTTATTAATTTTACTGACTTTTTTTTCAAATTTTGAAATATATTTGTTTTAATTTTATATATTATTTCCTGTTAAAGGTTTCCTACCTTTCATGATATAATTCTCTGATTTAATTATTCTATTTTTATTCTCCTGTTTTAATTATTCTTTCTTTATTATATTTAATGGTTAATTTTTCTCCATAGTATTAGACAGTAATCTGGCGATTTCAAATTTCAAATTTTTTAATTTAAGAACAACAGTGGTTACAATTTGTGCCACCTGTTTTGAGCTATCGTAAGATTCAGCTTATATCCAGGTGGCATATGATTTGTGACATTTAAATGTCAGAAGACTGAGAAGAGAGGAAGTAATGTTATGAAACCGGACGGAACGTGATGTAAAATCAAAAATTCCCCCCCCTTTTTTTTTTTAGCCCAAAGAGGTTTTGTCCCTAAAGGACTATTGTTTTCGTTTTGCGTTGAATCACTGTAAACGGCGAATCACTTTTCAAACTGTTGCCACCAAATGTTAAAATCCTGCATTATATTTGAAGAAATTAAATAATGGAAAATCTGCATAAATGTATGTATATTTCTCGCATTGTGATAAAATAGCGGTACGTAGAGCCATCGAATTTGGAATGACGTGATCCTCCTACGAATATGGACATGTGGAAGACCAAATTTGGAATTTTTTTTATAATCGATTTCATATTTTGTAAAACTTTAACGAATTTTTGAGTAACAAACTCAACGATTTAAAAGCGAGCAATGGCAACACTCTACGGGAGGGGGGGGACTTTTTTATCTCCAGCGCGCGAAACTGTGTATCAGAAATTCTTGCTCGTTTTAAAATTATTGCTATTGAACTGAATTTTGTGGTTTAAGTTCAAAGAACATGATATTTAATAAATAAAGGTAACACACAAAACGTTTAAAAACACCCTTTTGGGCGTAATTTAAAATCTGAAACCTTTCAGATTAAAAAAAAATTTTTTTTATGTATATGCTAGATCGTGTTTAATTCTGTGTTAAAATTTTGAAGAATATGAAAGTGTGGCTGAACTAAAATGCGCTTGTTCGCCAAATCTGAAGACCTTCTGAAATCGACGTTTCGTGAACGAGAGTAGGAGGTACTAGTGCGTCGGTTTATCTGATTCGTTATCATGTCGTTTTTGCGTAACTTTTGTATCGGCGGCATGCTTTAGTGTTGTATGTGAATGTGCACTTCAAAATGCTGTGCAGGTGTCGAATTAAATGTTGCGCGATCTGTTGTTTCATATCATGAATCACAGATAGAAATGTTCGACTAACAAACGGAAATTCGTTATTAGGTTTTTCAGAATTATTTCCTTGAAATAAAATTTTATTGTTATTGAGGATAATTTGCGAATAAAAATGCCTTGGACGTAGAATTATGTTTGGTGATCCTGTTGCCTTGTTTTATTCATCACGGGTAATGTTCTTTCTAATTTTTTCTCTTTCCCAATTGACCCCAAGGGAAAAAAAAAAAAAAAAAAAAAAAAAAAAAAAAAAACTATTTGCATAAATTTTGTCTGTAATCCGGATAAGCCCTTGTCGTATGAAGCAAATAATTTAAATATTTCGATTATTAATGGTCAGTCACATTTGTAGTACAATAGCATAATTTGCTGCTCAGTTAGTATCATGCAATTTCAGAGGAGAAAAAATGCATTTAATATTTGTCATCAATATTTAGTTTTATATCAGGGAATAATTAATATTTTAAATAATTTATTAGGTAATATGTGCCTTTAAAAATTTCTGTGTGTGTTTTTTTTAGTCACACACACAAACGAAAAAAAAAAAAAAAAAAAATCGAACAGTGAAACCATTTTAAGACAACTACTCACAGTTTCTGACAGTTATGTTTTTTAGCAGAGATGGTCCCATTAGAGAACGTGACTATCAGGGATGTTAATATCATACTTAAAAAAGTTTTTAAAAATACTAGTAATTTTTATGAATAGTCTTTATAAGAGACTTAAAAAGGTTTTATTAACGAAAAAGTAAATGTTAAGTTTGGTAATTTTACCTTAAATTAAGTTTTTGAATCATAAATTTGATATAAACAATAAGCAAGTTTTATTGATTAATAACAAAAGAATGAATAGTTAATTTGTCATATTATGGAATAATTTAATTGTTACATTTGTAGAACAGTGAAATAATCTAAATAATTAAAAAAATATAATATATTTTATTTAGTGCTATAAAATATAGTTTAGAACTATCCAAGTTTTTGATTATTTATGAGCCTAGAAGGGGTTGTAAAATCTTTGGAGAGAAGGCCTATACTGTAGTGTTTTTTCACCTTCAAAATTAATCCAGAGTAATTTCAGATAAAGGTTTTCAATTTTAAATTATGCTTAAAGAACTGCAGAAATGTTGTTCAATAAAGTTAGTGTTTTAATATAACAAATTAAGTTTTAATATGCTGTTTAGTCTCTGGAGCTGCAATGTTAGAACTTCAAGTACAGCTTTCTGATTGTATCTGTTAGATTATTGACTGTGGATTAATTCATATCTCAGATCATTTCTATTTGCAGTTATCAAGACATGCATTTTTCATTTTATTTATTTCAAAACATACAAAAGCAGTTAAGATAAAATATTTATCTGTTAGCTTTATCTCAGTATTAAATTCATAAGTTCTACCTTTGAATAATCAGCAAAATGGCAGAAGTTGTGTGTAAATTTCTTTTATATTCAAATAATTACTAATTTAAAAATTTGATTGTGTTACAAAGTTATTTTTTTGTTCAATTTAAAAACAACTGCTATTTGTAGGTGCTTCAAAAAGAGCGTGCCATACAGTCTGCATTTCAAGATCAGACACCTTTAGTCAACCACCACCACGAGAATGGTAATTTTGAAATAAGGCGAAGAGAGAAACCTAGAGCTCAAGTAAGTTATATGTGCTGTTTTATATGCTAAGTATGTATCATTGAAAATATTTTCTGCTTATGCGAAGTTAATCTTTTCTATTTTAATATTTTTCAGTTTATTGTAATATTAAGGTAGTTATTTGATTGTGCAAATTTAAAATGAGGCAAAAATCATTATTAGAATGATGTTAATTTTGTAAGAAAAATTTTGTGTATTTTGAAGGAATTTTCAGAATCTCTTCAAAATGTACAGAATCAAGGGTTCAATGTAAGGAAGGCTAGTGTAATATTCCTCTTTCCTCTTTTGGAAAGAAAAAATACTCTGTAATGTCTTGTTTAGAAACACCTCCTCAGAAAGATTCCAAATTGTTATGTATGATTGTAGTTTGATATTGCGTATTTCTTGATGATAAGACTTGTTTTCTATCTATACAGACATAAAAATTAATAAGCATTTCAATATATATTTCATCATATTATGTCCTTTCAACTAAACAGTATTTATATCCTATTGTATCATACAGCTGCCAACTCGGTACTCTTCTGTTATCGGGACCAGATTTAGAAATGTATGTATATACATATAAGTGTATACACACACACACACACACATACATACATATGTACATACTTACAATATATTTCTGAATCTAGTCCTGATAACTGTACTGGTGACTCTAACAGTTTTTGGCACATCTCCGTCTCCTGATAGGTTACTGAATCTCCCGTTTTTTATTTTTTAACCTTTATGAATGAAAGTGCTTTTCAACAATAAAATTAAATTGTACTAATGAAAATAATCTGTTCCAATAAAATTTGCACAGTTTACATTTCATTGTTGAATTAATGATATTTAAGTTGTGCAAATGTTGTTCTTTTTTTATTAATTTTTTTTTCCTCTGAATTGTCTGAATCTGCTGTAGATATTTGTAGAACTGTCTATGAAGATCCAGTCAAATGAGGTGAATGGTTAAGATTGCTGAATACTGGTAGCTTGACCTGACTTGGGTTCAAACTCAGGCAAACGGGCGGGCTGACTTGTTGTTTTTTGTGATTTTGCTAGTGTGTGACATAAATATGAGTCAGTTCCCTTCAGAAAATCCTTCATGAAGACATTCCTCCTGTTAGGCAGATATTCAAGTAACCCAACTTAATCAAAAAAATGTTCTGCTAGTAAATATTTGCATTTTGTTTTGATCAGTATGTGGTACTTTAAAAAGTTTATCCACATAATAGTATGTAAGTTAATTATTTTTTTCTTTTATATTCGGAATTTTCTCAATATAAAGGTGCTAGAAATTGACAAAATGAAATTAGTCAAAGAACATAAAATTTAGAATATTTTACATAAGAATTACATTATAAATAATTGAATAAGCTGAATCATGCACTATAAAGGGAATTTAAATAAATTTTGAGTTATTTTAAAATGGTGTGGCTACATAGCGTGAAAACCTTCCAGAAACTCTCATTTTTCATATTTCAAGATAGGCAGCTATGATATTATTTGTATTGTATTTTTTAATTGTTAACTAACTATTACTAGCTGTGAGTAGAAAAATTTGATTAAATCTTTATGTTTAAAAAAATACTTATGATGAAACATTTTACTAATTAGATGAAGCATTTTAAATATATGTTTATCTTTTCCCAGAGTTTATTACTTTAGTTATTGTAATATTTTAAAAATAAAAATATGAGTTTTTCATTTATGATGATGAAAATTGAGTGTTCATAAACGACTGATCTTTGGAATATGGTAACTGGTAGTTTGGCGATATTTGGAGGCGATAAGGTGCTACTAGGACTTTGGTATAATGGGGAGAAGTACTTAGTTCGATTACGCATTATTATTGGTGAGGGAAAGGAGATCATGATATGTCAGGACATTAATGGACAAATAATTTTATCGGAAAAGGGGAGGGGAATTTGGAAAACTGTAGTACTATATTATTTTGTATTAAGCTCATTGTGTGTTGTGGAAGTGGAAGTGTGGTGCCACGTAATGAAGATTCTGAAGTTAGGTAAGTTAGTATTTTTATCATTTGAGTATATTTTTATGCATTGTTCTAAATGAATGAGTAAATAAAATTAATTATGCTATTATGGAAAATTAATGATTTAGTAAGCTTATTATATTTAAAGTAATGTATGTTTATTTATATTAGTAGTGTTTTTTAAATTTATTTTAATTTATGATCGTGTTTTGTGAGATATGTGTGTAGAGGAATGTGATAAGCATGTAGGGTATTTTCATGCATTTTCGTGAAATTTTCTAATTTATGAGAAAAAAAAGCAGTGTACATGGATATAGTGAAGAGTGTGCGCAATGCCATTTTGTGCAATTCTGGGATGTTTTTTTAAGTAAAAATAAGTCTACGTGTACATGGTTTAGTGATATTTTAATTAAATGATAGTTATTTGTGAATTTATGTTTGTAGGAATTGGTATACGTTTCAGTTGAAGTAAACGTGCATGGAAATAATTTAAATATTTGACACTAAGTATTGTAAACCATTTAATGTTTTGCGGTATGAATTCGTTGGTGACGTATATAATATAATAGATAATTTAGAGGTAAATTTTTTGGATATTTTATTTATTTATAGTGGAAGATGTTCATCTTGGAAAGGGTATATTACTTTTTTGCGATCAGGTAATTTCATATATGTGCTTTTTACCGAGTTTAAAGATTCACAAAATTTTTTTGCATTTTCGTGCAAATTTTCTAATTTATGAGAAAAATAGCAGTGTAGATGGATAAAGTTAGAGTGTGTGAAATGCCATTTTGTGCAATTCATGGATTTTTTTTAGTAAAAATAAGTCGACGTGTAAATGGTTTATGTATATGTGCTATTCTGAAAAACGGGCAAGGAGTTTGCGATTGTGCAATTTTTCCCAATTTTGCAGTTAATATTTGTCATGATTAAGCAGTTTTGTTACATAAAATTTCTAGCATAAGTGTAATTCGGCTAGTAGATTGTAGGAAAAAGTGTTCAGTAAATAAAAAGAAAAGAAACATGTCTTTACTTCATGAAGACAAAATGGCAGCGAATAGCAGAGTTGGTCCGCAAATTTTCGCCAAAAAATCTCCAAGTTACCATAATCCAAAGATCAACCTCATAAACACCATTGTAGTTATATAAGCATAATAGCTGCAAGATTAGATTAGATTGGCTAAGCTGGAGAGATGCCTTCATGGCCACCTCTGTCTAGAATTTTCTGACCAGATGCCTTCCTGTATGTGGTAAAAATTGAGGTTACATAAGAGTTTATAATATTGGCATTGAAAATATATGTATATTGGCATTGCATTAGGTATTCAACTTTCTGAACTTCTGGCACTGTGTTTTTAGTTACATTTTTATATATTGAATTTTAAAACTATCAGTTATTAAAAGTGTATGTTAATACCTTTAATTATTGTTATATAATGAAATTCTTACTATTCGTAAGCATGAAGTATACTTTTCTCTTTCTGTTAGCGCCCATTAACACGTTACCTACCTGTTCGCAATGCTGAATTTGATTTACGTCAACACATTGAATCAGCCGGTCATCAGATTGAACTTTGTGTTCACATTCACTTGACAGCAACATCATGCCATGGCTATCTTCATAAACTGGGTGGTGCCTGGAAGACTTGGAAAAAACGGTGGTTTGTTTTTGACCGCATCCAGAAAGCCTTGCTGTATTACAGTGATAAAGGCGAGACTAAACTGAAAGGCGGTGTAAATTTCCAAGTAAGTTAGCAGTTGTAAACATTTTATGTTAATTGATACATTAGGTTTGATATTTTTGCAATGTATTTTAATATCGTAAGCAAATCGTTTGAATGAGTTATATGTATGAACTTCTAATCATTTCTGTGTATGGCAAATATATATTAATATCTCAACCTAATTGCGTTGCTTTCATAATAATTCATTTAATAATAATCATCTTCACCCCAGACCAACTCCTTGGCAACTTGGTGAATTAATGAAAAACTTTTGTTCGTCAATTTTAATGACTTTTTGTTCATAAATTCTAATGAAAATAGACATTTTAAAAGAAATAAGAAATTTGATGAAGGGAAAAAAATCGGGTACTTTTCCGTTTCCGCTGGCACAAATCTCGCCAAGCAGACTTAATTGACGACAACATACCATATACAAGTATACACATAAAATATGTTAACAAATGTTAGTTCTAAGAATTTTTTTTATTTTGAAGGCATAAACATTTTAATATTGTTTAAAATTTTGTAAAAAGAGATTAATTTAAGAATTTACTATGCTTTCATGGTTCAACATCCTGATTCATCACTTCACATTATGTGACCCCGAAGTGATCTCATCTCGTGTAAATTACGCTACAAAAATCTAATTCTCTCAGTAATTATCTACGTTAATTTCAAGTTAAATCTTAATTTGGAATACAAGTTTAAATGCAAGAATTATTTCAATTCTTACGAATTAGCTAACTCAGAAATTATGTATGCTATACTGCGCTAGTGCGTTCTCATTAGAATTGATGAATTTAACCCTGGACTTTTTTTGCCTTTTCTATATTTTTGCCTTTGGGTGAGCAGTGTGATTGCATCCTAATTGACTTAAAACTGAACTATCTTGTAAAATTTCTATGTAATTGTATGCCAGTATTGAAAGAAACAATCAACCTGATAAGAAATGGCTGCAACTTGTTTTGAAGATGAGGCGTAAAAGGTTACCAGTGTGGATATTCCGCTTGGCATCGGTTATACCATTATTGGGGACTTTATCATCTGCTCTGGCAAAATGGAAAAGTACCAAAAATCAATATAGCTAATATTTGCATTTCTACAACCAGTAATAATTGCCAACAAAATGCTGGTTAAAGTACATAAATCGACATGTACTTAAGTATGTGGGCTGTACACACATATGTGAGTTGGTTATCGTCCCAAACATACTCAAAAACATGCCAAAAATGTGACATTTCTACTATATGTTGAAACTGGGATTGCCGATAATCAAAAAGTGCCCGAATATAACTCCTGTCTCTTATTCTGGCTAAATTTTTTTTATACTTACAGGCTATAGAAGATGTGTATGTAGATCACCAACATTCTGTTAAAAGTCCATGTCCACAATCAACGTTTTGTGTAAAAACTTATGACAGGATTTATTACCTCATGGCTCCCACACCAGAGGCAATGAGAATCTGGGTTGATGTTATTTTTTCTGGAGCAGAAGGTTATCGAGATTTCCTTGGAGAAGCTGAATGAAAAAAAGACTCTGTGCGTATTATATGATAACAAAGAATGGTATGTTTTATTATTATTTTTTAATTGTTTAAATGCAATATAAATTCAAAAGAATGTGATATATTTTAATTATTTTATATTGCATTATTTATGTCAAAATAAAATAATAAATTGAAGTAGCATTATTCAAAAGTCATCTGTTCTTACTATTCATTTAAAATTTATAATTAAAAAAGTCATTGAAGGTGAAACTATAATCTGATTTTATTTAATATGCCATTTTTTTTTATTTAGGAGAAAATGTGCATGCAACTTTTAATTGGTTTAAAATAAAATGTGTACCATTGACCTTCAAGAAAATGATTTTGAATTGCATGGATTTCTTGTTACATGACTTGTTTTCTAAAAATAATATTGAAAAAGGTTTTATTGATTTCATTGCAGTTTTTTTTTGGGGGGGGAAGGGGGATCTGTATAGACTATGAATCTGCAAACATAAAAAATCAAAGTCAGAAATTCTTCTCCCCCTACACGCATATTCTGCACCTACGCAATATATATGTAATTCTTTTCCCATTTGTTCTTGAAATAAATCTAAATCTGTTACATGAAACATTAAAATTGCTAAAATATTAGTCCACAAATAGGCAGATAGACCTTGTGCTTTGTCGTAATCAAATAAACCAAGTTAGTGCACAAATGCTTTTAGATATCAGGTAACACATTCCAGAAGAAACATTAAGAAAAAAAAATTAAAAGTAGTAATTCATTTTTGCATTAAATTAACTGTACTGAAACTGTAATTAATGTGTCTTGTGTGACTACAATAATTTGACAGGCAGCTCCTTTTATCAGCATTGTATTGCTGGTGTCTGTTTAAAATGCCATATTATGCTAATTAATATCACAAGTGATGCTTCCAGAAAGTGGAGAAGAGTCATAGTATGCAAAGAAAATATGTGATAATATTTTTAAGATGTCATTATGAATGTGAATGGAATATTATATACCATAAAAATTATGATGTCATTTACTTTAATATGTCACTAAGTAGTAGGGGTGACTGTACTTCCTGTTGTGTACAATTATATTGCTATTGCTTTGTTACCAGACCAAAATTTTGTCCCTTTAGGTACTTCTCTTTTCTCCTTTTTCTCTTTTCTCCTTTTCCTCTTTTCTCCTTTTTCTCCTTTCTCCTTTTTAATTTCTAAAGACAATAATGTAAATTTTATATAAGATAATGCTAATATTGGTATCAAGAGACAACAGTATATAGTAAACTGACAATCTAAATGTATGCTACAGTATATAGTAGAATAGAATAGACACACTTTTCCCTTCAATGAATTTTTTTTTTAA